TTTTATTGTACTTTTTTTCTGAATAGATTATGGGTCTCATCTGGTAAGGGGAGGCATATGGCCTACAGTTCATTTGTTCCAGTTCTTCCCAAGGGAAAGGAGTTTCCAGATGGCTGTAGAAGCGAAAGCGAAATGATCCACGACCCTAGGGATTTCCTTCCCTTGCGAAAAATTGGATTTCTGCTGGCTGCAGCAGCTGTCGCATAACATGCCCCCTTACTATGAGACTAGACTTTTCGTAACACATGTTGCAAAATTTATGATAAGGATGTTAACAGTCAAATTCTGTCAACAAGTGAAATTCTACTTGTTACGGTGTTGTTCACTCTTACTATGTGTTAGCCTGAATAAAGGTAGCTGAAATGTGCGTTTTACAGTCTCTGGTTGAGCATCTATTCGGAACAGTATTCCATGTGACGGGAGACTTGATTTCACGTGATCATCCGGCTTTGATAATAATGAATCATAGAACAAGGTTCGTGCCTTCTTTATCCTTCGTTTGGAGTTGAGTCATAGTGCAGCTTTTAGGTTAGACTGGTTATTTTTATGGAACGCTTTATATAAAATGGATCCTCTGCTGCTCACAACTGAAAAGATCTCACTAAAGGTATGCAAGAAGTTCAATGCTTCTTCCTTCAATTTGTTACATGTTCGGAGTGAAAGGGAATTTGTAATGGGAGTGCCGTGTTCACTACAAAGACATGTTGTGGCGAGTTGCCACAACCTGTTTGCAGTGATGCAAACACCCACAGTAGCGCTCGGTTTTGATGGTTTGTTCGAACGTCAGCAAATTCCAATGAACCAGTTCGCAATGAGTTAAGATAACAATCAGCATTGCATAAGTATCCCAGCCATCCCGGCATTGCCTCAAACATTCAAAAGGTTCAGTTACTGTATCCTGGAAAGCTACGGAGAAGGTCATTGTCGACCTGTACTTTGATCTTTTCGACTCGGATGTCTATCAACTGATGTATTTATCATGAGCAGCAAAATGGGCATATTGTTTCCGTAGCAGAATGGTCATACTTTCCACAGTCTTCCCAAAATACTGCTTTGGACAGCAGAGATCCGTGCAGCATGCGGTCCTAGTAGTATCAGACCCGATAAACTTAGCTCTTGGGTTATGTTGTTCTCTTTCTGCAGAAATTGATGCACTTCTGTTTCTGAAATCTTTCATAATCTCTCCCTGCACTTCATAATTGTTCAACAAGCGAATATTAACATCTATTTTTGCGTCATCCTCTAATCCCTTCAACGAACCCCCCTAACGTTTGCACTTGTCATACATACTAGTCTGACTATTTCAGTGAACTCTGTTTGCTCAAGAGATGGTAAAAGGTTCATTTATCTCGTTTAGTGCAGGAACTATTAGCTTTCGTTTTGCCTAAGCAAGAAAACCTTTTCTGCCCACACCATACTCAATTCCCTATAGACCTGTTCAGCGAGCATGAGAGAATATAGGCGACCTTTGTCTCTGACGCAACAGGTCAAGGGCAATCAAGGGCAACATGTTATGATTTGGCTGTTTACTACCTCTACTTTTGCATTGAATTCATCTTGGTTGGTCTAAATAGAGGCTTTCGAGCAGTCAATATTATAGTAGCACAATTTGTAGTATTAGTCAGCATTTTGCGGTCTAGTGAATGCGAGTTAGTGGAATATATCCCGTATAGAAATTATTTCGGCTACTTATGTTGTCGACTTGTTCAGGCTCCCCTCAAAAGCATACCTGGTGCAGGATGGGCTATGGGCTGTGGGTCTTACATTTTTCTCGAAAGAAGCTTCGACAACGACAAGGCTACTATGGCAGCATGCGTTAAATACTACAAACAGTCAGGGAACAATTATCAGGTTTGTTTCTGTGTTACCATTAGCTGCTTCAGCGCTCCTTACGTGCTTTTCTTCCAATTATATTGAACATTAGTTTTCTATTTGAAGGCTAAATAGGGTTCTTCTCCCTATTGCAAATTTGTATTAGATTTGACATTTTTCTGGCTACACAAGGAGGGCTAGAAGTTGTTGGAAGGGCTGTTTTTTATCCGTTTTCTACCAATGCAAACAACTATGACTGGCCTTTTTTGACTACTGACTAACATGAACCCTAACATGCTCATTATCATGAATGACAAAAATCAGCACGGTGGTATGCCCCCTTACGGCTGTCTTACTCTATCTTCACTCGATCATTCACTTTTTCTTTTCTGTCCTTCCAAAACATTGTACGTTAATGCGCACAAGAGTGGATTAGTCATGGAAGAAGGTTTGTACCCTTTTTATAGCCAAACTTTCTACCCTACTACTTGTACTTTTGCACCGAGTGTTCAAAAAAGCGTAACTTTTCCGATTTTTCGAATCCTTTTTTGGGTGGATGTTAGAACTTCGGAATGTTGTTGTTAGGGAGCTTTGGCAAAGAATCGTGCCAACGTTGCCAAAGGGACGTAAATCACGGCAAAAGTTTTAATGTGCGTTCCGGCGTAAGTGTATATCAAGCGCTTGGAAAAAATGGTAATCTAAATGAGAGAAGTCTGGAGGTCAGGGTGGATGAGATGGTCGGTTTCGGCCGTTTTGGTGGATAGCTTTGAAGTATGGGGTTTCTGCATTATTCCCAGATGTTCTTTTTTGTGGGTGTCAACCGTGGTAATGTTGTTGACTGGTACGCAAAGAATACCCACATTTTCGTTATCATTTACGTTCGGCTACCATTTTTCGTCGGCCTTATCACAGGTTTTAGAAAGGTTTCTTTCCTGGTATCGAAGCAAATTCAAGTAAGTGTTATAATGTGCAAGTTGCAACTCCCCGTCTTTTTATGCTTTTTCGAATTGTCTTGATTTTCTTTATTTCCTTCAAATATATCCTGCCAGTGTAGCATGATGTTCCCGACTCTTACCCCAACATTTAGAGGTTGCTTTCAAGTTTTTGCTTCCACTTGCTTCCACGCTACATCGAAGTGTTTGCTATCCAGCAATGACTTGCCACCGCGATCGGGTTGATACTTAAGGCTCACATTTCCGAAAGCGGACTTGTAGTTTACGTTCTGAGCTGAGTTTTCACTTCATGCGTAGGTTAGTGTTGCGGTTAGCTTATGTTGCCGAGTGGTCCGATATGAATTTGTGAATTCATGTTCACTGTGTTAGTTTTGAAGCTGTAATTGTAAAAAAAATTATCGCAACACAACGTTCAACATCACTCTTCGAAGCTGAAAAGTGTTCTAAACAGCCCTATAAAAGTTAAATCGTACGCGTTGCACGGGAAGTTCAATGAAATTTGTTGTAACGTGGAGGCCATTATTCTTGCAAAATCTAGTATTAGGTCGGAAACGATTGAAACACCTTATGGGCCAATTTTCAAAATCATTTTTCCATTTTTTATCCATTTACAAATGATTGGCATGTTGACCATTAATGTCAAAATCAGTACACAAACGTTCGTAGAGATAGGGTTGTTTATTGACAAAAAACTTTTTAATGTCTTTTAAGAATAAGGGTGTTCTGTTTTATCAGTGTTTATGGCACTTCATGAATGTTCCAAGATAAATGAAGCGCTCTGCATGATTTTCTGCATTGGTTTGGTCCTAGATGCATCGGGAGGCGTTTTCATATGGTCCTCCGATCGTGACGATAGCACAGCTTCAAATACGTGTGGAACGCTTGGTCGTTGTAGCTTGACTTGCCAGACGATCAGATGATCGAAACTTGTCTACTGCTGTGCGATTGCTACGATCGTTGCCATCGGACAACCGACTATGAAAGCGCCCCAACAGCTGAAGTGTAGAGCTTGTTCCTTATGTCCAATTTTCCATTTCTGAGGTTGCTTTTATACATCGCACTTGTGCTGGGTGTGCGAATGATGCGGAAAGCGCCTCAGTTTTGTGACGGTAGTGCAGTCGCCGTGTTGCTTGGCGGTGCGAAATTTCTCGATTGCTCGATTGGCAGTGTGGAAGCGTAGTAATCGAGGGTACCTTTATGTCACGCAATGCGACGATTCCGCCATTACCGTAGAATTTTGAGGCATTTTCCGCACTGGTGTGAAGTATCAACGCAACCTTATAGCTGAACAGAACTGGATCTCATAATGAAAGCCTTGATACGAAAAGTAGGATATTTACAGTTACTATTATTCCCCGAAGGGACCGATCGTGGCGCTCGTGCTGCAGCTCAGAGTGATGAATATGCAAGACAAAATGGTCTACCTCGTTATGATTACGTACTTCACCCTAGGACAACTGGTTTCAATTACCTCCTGAATGTGATGAGAAGCGGTAGGTTTCTGTTTTTAAGAATTTTACTTCTATTCGAGTAATTTAACTCTTTAGAGAACTATATCTCCTGCGTCTACGACATTACAGTGGCTTACGAAGACGTGATTATAGATTCCGAAATGAGTTTGTTAAAAGGACTCTTTCCTAAGGTGGGAATTATGACCACTAATACCTTATTATTGAATTTATGGTTAGTGTTATTATAAAACTGCATAAAATGCATACCATTTTGATGGCTCTCTCGTTCACTTATGCATTTGTTCATAGGTACATGCATTCCTGAGAATACAAAATTTTGCGAGAGATATTCGGAATTAAATAAGAACAAATTGGGCGAATTTCATCACTTTTTGAAATTTCAATTGGGGCTTGTCCCTTTTTTAGAACATTCATTTCAACGTGAAAAAGTACGACGTCAAAGAAATACCATCCGATCCTGAAGAGAGCGGCATTTGGTTGAAGGAATTATGGCGTGAAAAGGAGGAAGCACTGAAAAAGTAAGCGCTTATATTTGTTTTTTGCTTTTTTTTCACGAACAAATATGACCGACATGTCAACTGATTACTTGAGGCTTTTCCTATGTTCTACGTCGCAGAAATTTAGAGCGCAGCAGCTGCCTCAGCGTAGACAGTCCGTGAGCCAGGGGAATGTATCCGATTTAGTGGAGTGGAAGCAGGATCAACCGATGCACTGCGCTGATTCAAATCTGTCCATGACTACTGTGAAAGGGGTCTCGACACGACCTCAACCACCAGCAGCTTTAGGGTTATTCCCATCATGCCGCTCTCCCGATTTCAATCATCACCCTTTGTATTATGGCTTTTTCTATCGTATTTGATGCTGAGACCAGTCGGCGCACTGCAACGACGCCGCAGTATAAAAGGGGTGAGGGAAAATGTATGACTTAGGGCAACAACTACACTCCATGCATTTTTTTGTAAGCTTTGTGGAAAAGACGCGACATCAAAGGTGACCAACTTTCTCCCTTCGCTACTCGCAACAACACGACCCTTCGACATCCATCACCACGGTTTCCCCTGAAATTACTATGACACCCTATAATCATTACCCGAGAGCCCAAAACGAAAATTCTTCCGAAAACCCCAAGTTCAGCCCCTCCAACTTCAGCCCATGTTGATCTATGTTCAACGGATGGTTGATATTGGTTTGGTGGGGGAAGCGTAAGACACATTTCATGCGGCCAAGGTTGGAGCGTTCTGTTACTGTTTATCTACTCTTTCCTATATTTCTGGCCTTGTCATACGTTTTTTTAAGAACAGAGTGCAATCTGTTTGCGGACTTACTACCACTATTTTTAGATTTTACGAGTCCGAGCCTCATAAGCGACGTTTGGATCCCAGCGGAGTCGGCTATATGTTTCCGGTATGAACCTCTTTCCATTCATTACATTCTTTAAACAAGAGTTCTAGTGCTCCCTTCAGCTTCAATCAATCATTTTCCCGATAACGTAATCTGCTTGAGATTTTTTCAATCGGAAAGAGCATAATTTTGAGTGATAAGACAGCAATCGCGATAACTTGATATCAGTGAAATGTGAAACTTGAGGGGGCAAATGGTCCATCGGTGAAAAAAAAGAGAAACGTCCAAAAAGAAGATACTGGTTTTTTGCCTGTTTTTGAGGTGGAAGAACAAGTTGGAGTTAACAAGGGGTCGTTTCACTCTGCTGCATCGCTGGTAATCGCACCCATGCACTTCCAAAGTGAAAATCGGAAAAACGATAATGACTTGAAATTTTATATTATTTCAACAGCCACTGAAAATCTACTGCTAATTTTAGCGGGAATAATTATTCGAATTTGACTCAACTTCCTGATACCGTGACAACACCCTTCTTATCTCAAAAATCTTGAGTGGAATGACTCACGCTTTTTCTGATTTCCGACATATGCAGTATTGCACGTAAAGACAATTCAATTTTGTTTCAGGTTAGAACGGAAGGTATTGGTTACTACGTAGCATTTACCTTTTGGATACTCATGACAGCGGTGTGGTTACATTCCATTTATGCATACTATGTTCTTCGATTGTATGTTATTCTCGTTTCTTTGTTTTACATATACGTATTGAAACGTTATAATGGTATAGAATTTCTTGTAATGAGATGGTTCGCAGAAAGAACGAAATAGAGCCATTGTTTGAATGCAGAATTTCTATTTTTTTTTCGATCATTCGTCTTTCTATTATTTTCACACTTGTGCATCGTTGATTTTTTCTCAACATCAATAACGTTTTTTGATTCGTGAATGTACTGGTAGCCCTGCTTTCAGTGTGTTAGTTGTTTACTCCGCTAGCATAGCAGTTGCTCTGGTAGTTTGCTCTTGTAACCAGTGATTTCGGGGCGGTCAGAAATCCATCACTAGCTTTGAATAGTTGCTTTCGTGTGAAACTTGACCGTTTTTGATCCTCAATTCGTGTTGTGATCTTTAAACATACTAGTCATGTATCGAGTTCTTGATGATCGCTTGCATTATAGCTGATAAATTTTTATTCAGTAACAATAATACGAGTTACGCATTCGTGGATATTGTGTCGGTTTCTCCCTTTTGATTCCTGCAGCTTTTATTGTAACGTGTTGCTGGTTATGCTGTCGCTGTGGGTACCCTGTCCAGGGTTTCTGTTACGCATTAGCCCCAACTATAAGCTCAATTGGGCAATGTATCGTTGTTGCTGATGTAATGTATGAGCTTTAGAAAGTACTGAGTATGTTGTAGCTTAATGCCAGCTTTACGCCATATGAATGTAGCTTGCTCGGTCCTGCATTTGTCACCTGGGGCTGATTTCGTACTGGCGTTCTTTTTTAGCATTCGTGCGGTTTTTAAGGTCTCAGTGACGAAATAAGATCCCTACTCTCACTTCTTGTGTTGAAGTTGTGATGGTTTTCTTCATACATGGGAGAGACGGTTCTAAATTTTACATTTCAAACATTTTTACGATCCTGCTCAACAAAAAAGGGCGCAGTTTGCAGGATGCAGTTTTATGAAAATTTACAAAAACCAAAAAGGGCGGTGAGTTGGGATTAATGGCATGAGTTTGTTCTTCCAAAATGCCCAAAGAATTGCTACCCGCGCTTTCATCCTGTTCGGAGTTATACAGGTAATTGAATTCAGGCGTGTACCCCAATCGGTATGGATCAGATTAATCAAAAAGCCTAGGGTCTATTTTGATAAGAGGGGGGCATGTAGCGCAATATTGCGTCTTTACAGTATGTCCATTTTCGCAGGAGAGGAAATCTCTAGGTCCGTGAACCAATTAGCTTCCGCATTTACCCCCAACCAGACTTCCCTGCAAAAACTGGGATTACCGCAAGCCAATGAGCCTCACACTCGGAGTTCCAGTATTGAAGCAGCTCCCATGGGTCGCAAGAGCGCATCTCTGTACCCAGGCTAAGAAGTTGTCCGTCGCAGGTCCCGCTTGTGGAGAAGCGCTGACCTGCAACGTCACATGGGCTTTAACTTAGCTGGCACTTTTTCGATGAGACCTTCAATAAAAAATGTCTATATACCAGAAATTAATTTCTCCATAATGTCAAAATAGGTATTGAAGAAAAGGAGAAAGAATGAATCGCGGTATTTCTTAAATGCTCAAGTGTTAAAGGAGTATTAGCGCTCGCTTTTGGGGCCTGATTGTAGCGGTTCATTAAGGAATACAATTAAGAAAGAAAAACCTTTTATAAACGAAATAATTAAAATGGTTCGTTTCGCTCCTTCCTCAGACGAACCTTATTATTTCGTCAATCCCCGGAGCTCATCAGTGAGTTGGGATTGGCGAAATAAAGACACAGGGGAAAGACGAATAAACCTTGATGTGACGTACTTATCATGCAGAGGAGCATGCAATGAAATTAATTGTATATTGACTAAAGTGAATATAAATTGATAACAATATGCAAAATTTTATAAAATTAAAAAGGTGGAAATGTTTGAAGCTGTCCACTGAATCAGGCAATAAGACACAATTTTCAAAACTCCCCAAGTTCTACGTCACGCTTTAGTCGTGTTTCTTAGTTGCTCAACAAATCGCTATTGTGGATAAAACAACACGTAGTGTCTTTCAGAGCTTGTCTGCGGTTGTTTTCTCATATCTTTAGTGATTGATGAGGTGGATTCAAAAAAAGCAACAGTGAATAATTATTCAAATTTCGCTGGTCTACTATAAATCTAATTTAGCGAACAATGGGTGTGGGTGAACCACCCGTAGTAGCAACCAAACAGCATTTTTTGATTCGATTACGAGGATGGATATTTTGTGCTTTCACATTGATCTCTGCTTTACTTGGTGAGTTTTGATTCATTCACATGATTCCGACTCGAATTGCTTTTATTAGTAACCGAAGTGAAAACACGTCTGTTTCTTAAGGAACGATTTTCATCATTACTCCCCTGTTACCCATTATGTATATTAATCCAAGACTTTGGCGGAAGTGCATGGATCGTCTTGTCGGAATTTGGGTAGTGATGCCTGGCGTGAGTTTTTTGGATGAGTATTCTTTTTATGAATCCTTAGCAGTGACAAGGTAAGCAATTTAGGAGCTGCTTACTTTGGAGTAGTAGGTGATGCAAGGTCGAGTTCTTTAATAAATGACTAGTTTAAATTCTTTACTTCCTAAACTGAAGGTACTGCTTAGTCGCGAGGTTCACCATCATGTGCTCTTGTTGTTCAAGTAATTTGCTAAGCACTTATTGACCAGTACGTTTTTGAAAGCGGTGTAATGTTACATGCCACACTTGTCATCATAAATTGCCATAAATCACTTTTTTGAGAAAATTTGTTAACGGTGGCGTGTACTTAGGGTAACCAGGTTGAGACGCTGCGAAAGAGGCTTTTTACAACGTTCACGGGAGAGAACAAAGATCGATTATAATCGTACTGAAGTATAAATTCATGGTACTACAAGGTTGAGTAAGGTAGATTGTTAATGAGGAAAATTCAGAAGAAGTTGAAAGTATTCATAGTCATACTGTGAACGAATAGGAATTTTAATATAGAAAAATTTGTAATAGGTGACTTTTACAGGCACTAATGACATACATTTTTGGCGCAAAGGTTCGCATACGTGGCGACATGATTGACCACAGCAAGCCTGCTCTTATAATAATGAACCACCGAACCAGGTCTTTTTAAATTTTACTTTTCTGTTACCTTCCACCCCTAAACTTTTTATATAGACTGGACTGGTTGTACTTTTGGAATGCTCTCTTCAAAATGGATCCATGGTTGTGTACGTCAGAGAAAATCATACTAAAAGGAATTTTGAGATTAATACCAGGAGCAGGTTGGTTGTTTCTTTTTGATCCAAATTGTTGATGCATTTACAACTGCTAACTCTGAATTACTTTCGCGAAAGTAATTTTTCTCATTACCAATTATAGCTGTTCAGTTACCACTTAGCTTTCCTAACTATTATTATTTTTCAGTTTTGCTGCTTTCAAAATATGTTGTAATGAACCAATTGACTGAAATGAATTAAGGGCAGAATTCACGATGAAAAAGCAACCCATTTCAAATTAACCTAGGGATGGTGAGTGGTACACGAAAGAAGGAAAACCATGAGAAATTTGACCCCTTCCTTGCCGTTGATTTCACCATTGATGGTACTTGCATCGTTTGCCCTCTTAAAGTCCGTCCGCACCCTCATGAGGTCCGCCTGTCCCGCCACTAGACAATTTCCCCCTTCTTCCGACCTTCGTTCTTATCGTGGAATCCTTTACAAGCTCATTCAATCTCATTAATGAGGTAGCAAATATCTTACATGCAAGGGGGTGACCAAGGATTCACTTGGACTAGTGGTTCATCGCTGTTACACAAAAAAAGATGAAATTCTTGTTCAGACATTTATTGGGGATTTCAGTCAGTATCAATGTAGTAACATAAATGAAAAAGAGACATTCTCATATGAGATCAATACCCATGTAAAATTGTAAATGACGTAAATGAAGACAAGGTTGCGAACGTCCAACTAGTTCATAGCAAAGCGGATCTTCTGTTGAGCATCAACCACAATTACACCGTTTGCTTCATGAACTTTTATTGCGTCCTCTAGAGCTTGCTCGCTTACTCCTTTACGAGCACACCTGGAAAAGAATCTGTTTTAGTGGGTCGTTACTGTGTCAAAATTTCACAATGCACTTACGCTTCTATAGCGGTTTGCAGGGAGATAGCGTCATCCGTCGATAAGCTAAGTTCTCGAAGAATTGCGAATGCTCTGTCTACCGGAGATTGACGGCTGCAAGCACATACAGATAGTTGCAATTAAAAGTCGAAATGAGTATAACCACGAACATCTCCTGCTGTTTCATTTCCGGGCGCAAGAGAGTCCTTGCTTGCCTGCATCAAGCGAATTGCCTCTTCAATATCATCTGACATAACGACATTTGAAAGCCGAAGACGCGCCAAAGCTGTCGACATCCTGTAATAAGTCAGTAATTTCAGATAAGATAGGGGAAGTATTGGGAATAAAAAGAAACCAACCACTCCATTAAGTATTTCAATGCACAGAAAACAATACCTTATCACCGATAACAGTAAGCGAGGCGAGGCAAATGTAGAGTCTTCACTTTCGCGAGAAACGCGGCGCATATCAACATACATTTCGACGAGCCTTCAAAAGATGGAATTTTATAATGAAATGGGGAATCTCGTATTCTAAAATTACCTTTCCCGGAGTGCATCTCCTACTACAGGATTCCTTCGCTGCGCAATTTCAATGAGTCGCCTATAAAATTCGATCTCGTCACAGTGATATTCAAAGATAATGTACAATTCAACCCAACCTGATAAGACGCATACTGATGGGTTTTATCCCTTCAATTTCTGGTTGTTTAGAATTCATATGAACGTATGTAATGTGGGATGCAAGTCGTTTATCGCCATCGCGATCTGGTTTGTCCTGGATCAACCAAAGCAGATCAAATCTGAAATACAAATTAAAGCAACTGCAACATGTCAGAATTGTTTTTGTTGTGCATAGATATTCAAAAGCGTTAAGGTGGTGGGACAATAAGACTTATAAACAATATAAGAAATGGCATATAACCTGGATAGAAGAGCCGCTGGTAGATCGATATTTTGCTCAATAGATCTCTTGGGATTGTACCTAAAATTGTAGTTCCCTTCTGCGGTACGCAAAAAATATGCTCTTTACTAACCTTCCGAACGCAGGGTTTGCTGCTGCTATAATAGCGACGCGAGCATTCAATGTTGTCATAATCCCCGCTTTTGCTATAGAAATAGTCTGCTGCTCCATAACCTGGTAGTATCGCATATCACCATTTTTTTACGAATTGCGAATAACGAATCCAATTAGAGTAGGCCGTACGAACGCACGAAACCTTTCTCTTTTTCGTGTAACACATTCTACGTCATTGATGTCTTTTTTTTCTATGACTACTTGTGCGTTGATTGCAAACGTACCTCATGGATTGACGTTCTATCACTTTCCATCATTTTGTCAAACTCGTCAATACAACAAATTCCGCGATCCGCGAGAACCTAAAATTCAAATATCAGTTGTGTGCAGCGAAAGCGAATAAGTTTAAAGTTGCCGAGAATCATTAAATATGTGTGTAGTAATCGAGATCATACCAAAGCTCCTCCTTCAAGTGTCATCTCACCGGTTTGGGGATCTTTTACCACAGCAGCCGTCAATCCGACCCCTACAATGAAGAGATACGTAAGTGAGCTGTTTCTCCAAATGTCACGAAGACCAACCAGATGATCCCCGCCCTGTTGTGTATTGTGATCGTGGTGCAAGACGATTGACGTAGGACAACAACTGCGATTTTGCAACTCCAGGATCTCCCATGAGTAACACATTAATACATCCTAGAAAACTTCAATTAGAAATGGTAATTCCTAGAAAAAAGCTAATAGTTATCACCTCTGATCTTCATTCCACTTGCGTTCTTATCAACACCTCCTACAAGGGCGAGCAACAAGCTCTTCTTAACATCTGTAAGACCATAGATTTCGGGAGCGATGGAATACGCAAGCATGTCGTAAAGGTTGTCTTGTGCGAGTAGGTCAATCTAAAGACAAAATTTCATCATACTGTAAGATCAGCGCTCATGTGGAACCATACCTCTTCTTCTGTTAAGTCGTCCGCCACATCTTCATTATCCACGTTGCAACGGACGTTTTCAACATACTAAACAACTCTCATCATGGTGCCATCAGATAGCATTTTATAACTACAAGATAAACTGACGTGGGCTTCCAAAAATGTCTCGGTAACCAATCCACCACCAGCTTGACGGAATCCTCCCTTTATAAGTGGGATCAATACTCCAGATATACGCACGTGATCGCCAGGAGCGCAGTGTCTAGTTGCTTCCCCATAAATATTTACAGTGAGCGCTCGAGGAATAGACCCCACAGGGACTTGATCACTCTAAATCAAACATTTGAATCATTTTGCAAAATGAATTGTAAAAATACCACCAACCAGCTCCTGAATCCTTATTTCTTGAAATTTATTGAATTTTGATCCTCGAACTTGCATGTGCAAACGACCATTAGCCTTGGACTCCACACAGTCCTTACTAGGACAGTTTACTGCTGGCATAAATGATGGACCATTGACCTGAGTTTCAGCAAAACTTATATCCGGCATCTCAGTTAACGACATCACCATGACTTACAGGTTGGTAAACCTCAGCTCCGCACGTGTCGCAGGCATATGTCATCACTTCGAGAATAGGTTTCACTTCTGTAGCACGGATCACAACTCCGGTAACAGTCACGAGTTTTCCCACGTAGTTCGCCTAAAGTGTAAGAAAAAATTGGATATAGTGTGCACCGTACCAAACATTTACCCAGCAATCATAAATTACCTTGATATCGCGAACTGGAAGAGGTTTCATAGCGTCGCGGTTTTTGAAAAGCACCTCACTGCAAAAAAACGTATCACATTCGTTTTTCCCTTTTCTGCATAGGCCACTCTCCCATACTGATGCAGAGAACTCACAATCTGCGGAGTAACTGAGGAGGATACTTTTTTCGAACTTCCTGTGTACTTCCTCCAAGTAAACCCTCAGCAATTTTGGATTGATCATCCATATGCACTCTTTGAAAAATGAACGCATCCAAGGCATCACGGATAGGTGGCTTAATGGAGAACTATTCATTTCTGACAGCGAACTCTTCATGCAGCAAACACTACCTGTCGGTCTCCCAGTACTTCTTGAACCATCTCGTCAATGACCTCGTTAAATATTTGGTGGAACCTTAAAGGAAAGATGAGTGGCAGAGTCTTATTTCTTATTCTAGTCTATTTGATTACAATGTAGAAAAGGCAAGGCATTGACATTATTGAATGTTAAGGGCACCACAGGGTCAGTCAACTGATTTTATCCGAATTTTATTCAAAATTGGAAATTAATTTTGTCTTCCGACTCTATCACTTGTCGGAAATAGAACTGTTCATCGTCTTCACTATTGCAGTCCTTTTCTTCGTTACCTGCCTAAAAAAAATTGCGCAATGTTTGCTTCTGTCTTTTTTGCTCTGCTTACGGTTCGTGAGCAAAATGAGAACTCTTTCGCGCATCAGATGGATCAGTGCACGATTACAGTTCCAGTGTTTGTATCCCTCCCGCGCTCTATAGTCACCTCGGCCAATAACCGCCCACTACCTCGTATTTAGACCCTATTCCGGTCATCCTCAATGATAACAGGTTTCACGCAGAATCTAGGTAGCAGACTGCGCGATTGTGCAGTCCCGATAGCGACATCGCACATCGCATAGTACGCAGCAGTTATTCTTGCACAGCGTACATAATTGATTGTCAGTCAGGGTTTCACAGTTCTCACTCAAGTGACTCACCGTCGTGCATGTGCCAATGAGCTGGTGGAAAGGCGTTTCCTTCAAGATCGAGCAACGTCATGTGCGAGATGACGTAAATGCCACATTTGCTCACGCTTCAGCCCAAACGGAGGAACGTCATCGCGTAGCAAGAAAAACCTTAATCAAAAGGCACACGATTATCACGAGCACTTCACGCGATAATGTATGCTATACGAAATAATAAAGGCCGCAGTGTGGCTCGGGGGGGGGGGGCAGTCGCCGCGCGCGGCTCAGCGATGTAGTGTAACTCGAACATTCCAGCTTCTCACGCATGCTAAGTGACTGCCCTCACCCCCCCCCCCCTGAATTGGCTACATTCCCCCTGGCTCACGAATTTCCTGTTGCCGCAACGCCGCGCGGCGGCGCCTGTCCCCCCCCGAGCCACATTGCGCCCAGATTTTTGCTTCAACAACATTTCCTGATACGCCTTTCTTGGAGCTGTCCTTCGTTTAAGAAAAAAAAAATTTCCAAGTGCTGCATATGATGTTCCTCTCTTCTTCGAGAAGGAACGCGTACGGCCAATTCCAAAAAACCCACTTTTGACCCATTTTCGTCGAGTCCATAATAGGTTTCGATGAACTCTCGAATTTGAGCCTTATGCTTGTCGTAGTCAAGGACTTTCTTTGTTGAATGACATCTCTAAATATAGTAACTTTAAATTACGAACACTGCGGACAAAAGAAGACAAGATTGTAGAGCATGAACGATACTAAAGAAACTAACGAATAGAGGACACGATCTCATGAGAATGAAATATAGCCTTGCGACCTTGCTCTCTAGTTGCGAGTTCAAAGGTGGTAGTTCCGCTTTATATTTCGGCGCCGCGCGATATTACGAAAAACTTGCATTGGAGCACCGTCTGGCAGTGGAGCGCACAATGAAGTGGGTGCATGCGAGGTTGTTTGGTATGAAATGTGGAAGTAATGATTCAATGATTAGCCTTGGGTTTTGTATAGAAAGCCACACTGGTGGTCTCTTCTGGCTAATATATATCAGGCAGAGTAGTTTTTCTCGTTTTTGAAAAGACGTTTTGTAACACAAGCCCTCGACTATCAATAAATTTACAAAACTCAAGAGTTCTACAAGAGTTCTCAATATACTGTATGATTGTCCCTCAATAAGATCCACAGTCTATAGGCTCTCTTATCCATGGATAATGTTGGCTGCAAAGAAATATCTCGTTTCCATGTCACATAAACATCAATTCTTTATGGCTGGTTTTTGGTGGATGTGATGTTGTAAAAGGCGCGACGACAAGGCAAGCAACTTAGAACTGACTTAAAACTGATGCATAATATGGTAGGTGTCTGTATAGTATTAGCAGTGCCAGGGTCTCACTGAGATGCTTCAAATGATAACGTTATTGGAAGTATCATTCAGGATTCAGGTGGCTTAGCTCAAGGCCGGGCGAGAAAAGGTTTTTTTTTTCCATTACAACTCACTATCTGGCTCAAATAACGTTAAAACAGAGCATGTTTTCCTCAGACAAGGCATTCTCCACGTCACCGCCACACATAGAAGCGTGTTGTTTTCTTACGTTAGCGATGCCTGGTTTCATTTTCTGACCCAACCGCTTCCTCACTCATTTCCTAGTTCTTCCTGTAGCAGTTCTCCGAAATGCAATTAACGTGAACAGACATAGTTGTGGAATAAGTTACACGAAATTCAAATTCAACGAATCAGCCACTTCAAGGTTGCTCTCATCTATGCAATTACTATCATATTAGACTTTTTATCGTTTAAGGATGGGCGATGGGTTGCAATTCCTATGTGTTCCTGAACCGTCGATTTGAAACGGATCAGTCGAGACTCGAAAAAATCTTGGACTATTTCGCTCGATGTGGATTCAACTATCAGGTAACTAGTCTGTTCCTCATTTCGTTAACTCAACCGCACGTCCATATTTGCGCACGCCTATTTGCATGTGTACAGCCAAGTAGACGTTTGTTTTGCCTTCAATCAGTTTCTGTGATTTATAACACTTGGCGTATTTGTTAATGTGAGTATGCTCCAGCATGAGGAAAAAATATGCGTAGATACGCGCAAATGACTGCAGTCGTTGTGTTAGAAGCACGATGGATTCTGGGTGGAATCTGAGTGGAAGAGGATGCTGGATGGTGCTCCAGTGACGAAAAAAGCAGAGAAATCCGTCAAGAACACGCAAAATGGGACCCCTTGGTTTATGCGTTGACCTTCGACTGTGGATGAGCCAGCAACCAAGGAAGATGGACTTGTTAACCACAACCTCATACTTGGACTAATAATCAACGCGAAATGCTCTTTCAAAGTGAGCGATGCTGCTAGTGGCAGTCCATTGATGGGCGGAGCGGTTTTGGGGTCGTTTCGGTTTTTAGAATTGGACGTTCGACGCGCTAATCAACTCACCGTTTTCTGCGAAAGCGCCGCTCCTCACTTCGTTTGCCGCTTATTGCCTGCAGTATATCTTTCCCTCCCGGTACGCACTCACTTTATCATATTCACTGCCTTCAATGGAGTTAAACCAAATTTCTGTGATCGAGAAGAAAATGCCCGCCACAGTGCCTAAGTTGTGTTTGAATGTTTGGAACAATACCGTGATTGCTGAATCTGTTCTTAGTATGATATGAACAGGGTGTTGTAGTAGCTTTAACAAAAGTGGACATAGTGGATCCTGAAAAATGGGAATTTGTTCATACATATAATGGTTTTATGGGGCTAACAGGTGTGCCTCAATAATGTAAATAAATGAACTGTAGGAGCTTTTCATCGCAATGTTTTTGACTTTTTACAGATTTTACTTTACCCGGAAGGTACAGATAAATGCCCACTAGCCACAGAAAGAAGTCGAAAATATGCGGAAAAGAACAATCTGGTGCACTATGAATATCTGTTGCATCCTAGGACTACTGGCTTTGTGCACATCGTACAATGCATGAGGAAAGGTATGTTAACTTTCCATGCTGTAATTCCTTCTACTAGTGGTTCATCAGTACAACTTCAATCGGCGTTCCTTCGGCAAATCTTCCCTTCCTTCTTTCTTGTCTCGTCGTCTCCTACCCTTATTTTGTTTCTGTTTTGTCTTCATTTATTCTATTATCAATTGCAGAACATCTACAGCACTTTCTACTCTGCCTACTTCCCTACTTCTGTGTTCTCCTCCCCCACGCACACGCACATTTTCTTTCTCTGTCTCTTTGTTTTTCGTACCACCTTTTTGCCCGTGCATCTTTTCGTTCGATGGTTTTGATAATGGTGGTAGGGAATTGTGTGAGCTCGGGGAATACTGCCATTTCTCATTTTCTCTTACTTATTTTTCACATTTACAAATATATCAACTAACTATTATCGAAAACGTGACCGCCCTTTCTGTAGAAGTCTTTAAGATTTCTGATGCTTCTCTGAGTTGATCTAGATAACCGAAATTCCCTTTTTGGGTGGCTGTACAGCGGCAGGAAAAATTTAGTCTGAGCTTATCGGTCACGTAGTTGCCGGCTCCATCCGGTCATATTCTATGGTCGAGGCGAATATGCTGCGTCTAGCCTGCGAGGAACTAGAGAAACAAATTGTATTTGTGTAGTCTTTGATTGTTGAACTATTTGAAGGAAAATAAGATAAAGGATAAAGCATTTGCCGTTGATCAATCCCTTTTTGGGATGCGGCACGCATTCTACTTCCATTTGTACATTCGTAGTGGCGTTTGAATGCGATGTGGCCTATACAATGACTTGCGGGGGCCAGCCGATGTTCAAGTCAGTGTTTTTATCCTCCCAGACAAGTCTGGTACCAATTAACCGACCCCGGAGGGATGGAAGGCTTGGTTGGCCCGGGCGACTCACGACCCAGGATTTGATCCCGGACCGCTCGCGTGGTGAGCGCGCCACTTGTCACTACACCACTTCCGCCCGTTATCGGAAATCGCTTTGCATTGTCAAATTACGATTTGTTCTGGCTGTACTCGATACAGGCTGGCACCTCTTCCAACTTCTTGCTGGCATTTGTCTACTTCATCATATAAAAAATCAATTCCGTACGGCACTATCTGCGTTCTTTGTTGGCTTGCATAGTGCTGCTTATGCGCTTCATCTGCTTTTGAAGAGAGTTATGAACCTGTGCCGCGAGATCTTCACATCGCCTCGAATCAATGGTATCCACTATTAGTTAGTTAAAGTTCACTTTTCTCAGCTGGATACATCGATTATGTATACGATGTGACGATTGTTTTGGATGATTGTATGTGCCAGTCGGGTGGATTTTGCTGTCAATGGCGTTTGTTCAAAGGATGTTCATTACCAGGTAAGAGCTTAATTTAGGCTCACATTGCACATTCACTTCAAAATCACAAACTTGGAAATTTGCGATGATTGCATACAATTCATTTTTTCTAGCCGAGGCAGTCACAAGGCAATAAACGCTGCTTTCTGATTGCACTGTTTCTCATTTAGCAGCCAGGGGGGACCTCTCATTCCCTGCATATGCTTTACGCCTTTGACCAAAAGTCAGTTTCCAGAAGTAAGAAGGTACTCTGATCAAAGTGGTGCACACGCCGCTGCTTAGTATCCTACTATATTTTGCTGACAGTAATCATACTTTGGGGTTTCAATAAATTGCTAAAAGAAAAACATCTAGTAGATGTCAAGATATCATGTGATTCTACACTTTATTTTTCATTGTGTTAGTACGTATCGAGACTCTTGCTGGAAGGATGGTAAATGTGTGATGATTTTAGCCATAGCCATAATTAATCACTCTTTGTTCCCATTTTTGCTTTCTCCTAGTACTTTTTTTCTGTTCAGATGGTTGGATCTCTATTCAAGTGGTTTTGCACGTCTTCTCGATGTCTGATTAGTTCCATTCCTTTTCAGGTTCGGAAGTTGAAGATTAGTGAGCTTCCTTTGGGCGACAAAGAGCTTGCCAAATGGCTAATCGACCTTTGGAGAGAGAAGGAGGAGAAGCTTCGCCGCTTCTACTCGAAAAGTTCAGATAGCAGAGAATTCGAAATGACTCCTGATGGACAGGATTACGAGGTATGATTTGTTCCGATCCCTAGCCCTTCGAAGACAACGTATGGCAAATACCACACTGCAAACACAGTGGCACCATGTTGAGTCTTTCGGGGGTAATATCCCGGCCATAGGTGAAGTTCTAGTTCTAGTATTATATAACATGCGCCATTCCTCACTATGGTGTGGCTTGAGAGTGCGCAATAAGGACACTATGGTCTCGTCGCTTGGTCAACCGACCGCTGCAACTGTTGATTGCGATACAGCAGTCGAGGCGATTTTCTCTGTTTGCTTCTCTTGCGCGCTCTGCTCACTCCTCCTCCTTTGCCTCTTTTCATTTTCGAAGGCTCAACTTGTTTATCATGAACATTCTTTACAAATCATTAGGTCACGCCGCGCCACCGTTACACACCCTGGTCAACCCAGAGTGTTCAGGTCGAGTCAGACTGCGAAGCACGCTTCGCTAGCGAATCGGGCGGATACGATCATTGTACCAACGGATCGAACGATGTATCAGCGGGTCGAACGACGTACCAGCGACTCAACACTGTTCAAAGCGGCGGGAGTCCCTCTCGTTTGCATGTTGACTCTCGCCACTATCCCGACCTCTTATACCCTCTCACTCTCTCATACCCCCGTGAGCCCGGAAAAGTGGCTATAGCCAACGTTCAAGTAGGAAGTTTTGCTCACTTCAAACATTGTCGAGTGGCTGAGTGTCGATTCGCTGGTACATCTTTGATTCTCTGGTACATCGTTCGATTTCCGTTGTACATTCGTTCGATCCCTACTCTGACACATTATTTCGCCCGCTGGTACGGCAGTCGATTCGCTGGTGTAAGCTCGTACCATAGTAGATTCGCTGATGATCGGCTAGCAAATCGCTGGATCTTGCAAAAGTCTGCATCAGGCCTCACAAGGCCAAGTACATCATTAGAGACCTTGAACTGACAGTGTATTGTAATTGGAAAGAGGAAATTTTGAAATTTAGGTGTCGTCTTTCTATCAGTCATGGAATTTTGTGTAACTCTAAATTTTCAGATGACTCAAGGCGTGTATATAACGCAACTATGCATCATAGCCTTCTGGACCCTGACGACTTTGATCTGGTTGTATGGATTCTTGATGGTAAAGTTATTTTTCTATTTGGCGAACATGTTAAGTGTTGGTAGTTCTATGTGCATTTATTGCGAGCAAAAAAACTCATTTTTATGGCGGTTTGTGCTAGTTCCTATTAATCGTTTTTGAATCAGTGCAAGCACATCAAGACTGCAAGCCGATGAATTTGTAATATGGTGAAACTCCAGTTCGGGGGGCCACTCCATTTTTTCTCCAATACTCAAGATAAGGATTAGAGGGCTCACGACACGTAATCGACTCATTTAAAGTAGACTTCTGATAAATATTGGTGTAATGGGTGAGAAACCCTGAAACGTTTTCACATTTCCGCCTGCCATGACCCAAGGGAACGGTCCTGGACCAGGAGAAAGGACACCTCCGCAAAGGGCTAAGGGTGCAGGAGCTCCAGGGTGGATCACCTGTGCAGAAAAGTGGATGGGATGTGGGCAGGTAGTGTGGAATGTAGGACATCCACCGGTCCTTATCAAAAGTACGCTCGAAATGAGTCGTTCACTTATTATCTTATCCGTAGTGTTCGATAGCCCAAAGAACTGCTCTCTAGTACTACGGATAAGATAGCAATGGAGTGCCCCCCCCCCCCCCCCCCCCGCCCCCCGCCCCCGAACTGGAGTTTCACCTGTAATATTTTTCTTTTCAGTAGTTTTTCGTCTTAGTACCTCCTTATATCATATTATGATCGTTGGCGATATTTGTCCACTCTTCTGCGGAAAGATTTCTTGTAGTGTGACGGCGGTCTGTCGATTTCAGTACCATCTATGCTTCTCAGTGTGCGCAGAAAAACAACAGGAAGAAGGCCCGTTGAATATTGAATGGGGCTGCACTGTTCCTCCTTGAGCGGGAATTAATCTTAGAAACGGCGACATTATCAAGCAGCAATGAATTTTGGGAGTGGCCATCCATCTGGGTTTTTAACGACACTTGGACTCACAGAGATTTTAAGCGACCTCATGTAAAGCCTCTGGAGGCATCTTGCTAGGCGAGCAGGTACGGAAGCTAAGTAAAGTCTCATTTTATCGATGAGACTCTCCATTTCGGAAATCAGCGGGCCTAGACGGGCCCCATTGCTCGGGTTCTACGCCGCTAATCTTAGTTTTTCGCCGGCAGTCTTAGTTTTTTCATCCCTGCATCACTGACCCCATATACCTTGATTTCTAATGGGCTGCCTTTTCATCGTAGACTCGGTTTTAAGTAAACTGTTGGCTATTGATATCTCTCGTTTACAGGTTCCATACATGGCGACGTTTTCTGTTGTGTCGTGCACGATCTATGGTTCCATTCAGTACCGTTGGGATGGTATCGAATGGCTTGCTATCCATCTTTTCAACAGCTCATAGAACAACCCTCTTTCTCCAACTGCATTATATTCGTGATTATGGGTTCAGAATGTTACTTCTCATTTGACATGACCAAACTTATTTTCCTCATTTGGTGGGTGTATTTGATGAACTTTGAAATATAATAATTCTCTTGTTGAGTTTTAGGTGATGATCTATCCCATGGTATAGCGCTGTGCTTAAAATATGACGTTTTTAGGATATCTATCTAAAAGGGTAATAGCAGGATGACTTTTGGACCAAATTTTGTACTAATCTCTCGCTCATTTAACTGTTGAAAATCTTTTTTTTTGTGGAATCGAGAATGGGATTTTTGTATGAAGTATCTTCATATTTACTAAAAATTCGAGTCTGTCTGAATGAGCGGAGGGGGTATGTGGTGCAATAGTTCGCTGACTGCACTAACTAATCAGATTTTTCGAAAGAGGGGAAGCTTTGGGGTGGTTGCAAAAACGAAGTGAATGGTTCACGCATGCCGAAGCTTCCTTCACGTGCAACAATTAGGATTACTGTAAGCGGCACGATCTATTGCTATACATAACCTCTCCCTTAATTCAGATAGATTCCATGATTCTGTTGAAAGAGAGAAATGATGATGACGGAAGTGTTGAATTTTTGTTATGGCATTTTGTTGTTTTTGTGTTGTTTTGTAGAAGTTTTAGAACTACTTTCAGTATCTAACGTGTGTCTGGGCATTGTCTAATAAGTGTACGGATGTTGACTTTTGTCGGTTAAAAAATTAAAAAGTAAAATTGTTCGCTCAGTGCTCAAATAAAAGTTCCATAGTATGGCGTTGGATTAATTGGGTGCAGTTATAGTTCCATACATAGCGATTTTGCTGTTTACTACTTCAGATGTTTAAGGTATGATAGATATCTGATAGCTTATCGGAAACGTGGTAGTTCTCTCATCACTTGTGCAAGTCCTGAGTCTATTTTTGAAGGAGGAGCTCACATTAAAAGGCAGCCTATTAAATTAAGGTAGAGGTGATCAGTGATGCGGAGATGAAGAAAATACCGTGAGAAATGGCCCAGAATCCGAGAGATGGGATCGCTTTCTTGCCCGTTGATTCCCGCTGGTTATCCTCCAAGGCCTGGTTACTTGAAGTGAACTTACTGTTTTTGAATGAATAGTTTTTTTTGAATCTAGAACGGTGTTCTTGCAACGCTCTCGACCGTATAAACTCTTTTTCGTATTCCCTTGATATTCATAGCCGCTGCAGTCATATTTACCTCGACTGAAGCAACACCCCCAGATAAATCGTGGTTTCACAGATAATGAAATTGCCGAATTGAGAATGAATTGAAGGAGGAAAGAAGACGTGAAGTTCAAGGCAAAAATTCCTCATTGTTAAAGAAGTGGCAGGCCAGACAGGTAAGTTACGTCACTTCCCGCTCCACGGCTCAATCAACTTACTGCGCGTAGTTGACCGGCCGCTACCGGGCCATTATCCAATGATGCTGTGCATGGTGTGCGCGACTCACTCGTCCAATGCCTCTAGATTAGTCGCCAAACATCTAAATTGTAAGACTCTAGTTCATGTGCATACATTCGACCGCGGCAATCACACATTTGCTACTCGTACTCTATTCACCAACTGAATAGATTCTTCAACACGACTTCTGCTGGGGGTGTTACTTTAAATCCGAAAACTTGTCGGAGACGCTCGTTTTTATCGACCAGCATTCTCATCCTTGATAGTTTGCCATAAAGTATAAAAAGTGTGCATTTGTTGTAATGCCGTTGAAATTCTATCGATAGAGAGACAGTACTAACTGATGACTTACAACCGCATTTGCAGGACGGAGATCAGACGATTTCTTCGAATCCTCACCCTTGAAAACAACTATATCCTTATTATTACTATTGACTGCAACCGGCAGTAAATAAACAAACAAATATATAAATAAACAAATAAAATAAAATCAAAAAAGCGTGGAGGCGTGTGAAGTTTTAAATGGTAATTATAAATTTCGCGTGAATGACCGGAAAAATGAGGCGCAAGCAAAATTGAGGTAGCTGGAACATGAACATTTTTACAACATCTTGTATTTTAACCTTGTGTCACTGTCACTGTAATATTTTATGTTAAATCTCTTTGTTTCCATTCCAGTCCTATCTTCTTTGAGAGGGAGTCTTCCACAATAGGGTAATTAGTTATGCTGATTCTCTTGCCCATCACGGTCCATTAAACGACGGTTGGTTGATGAGAACCTGCCGCTCATGGCAGTCATCACACGCTTGATTGGTGATTCTGAGTGACAACGGGGAAGGTCTTGTAGATATGAATCGCTATCATTGACGATCACCACCCTCGCAACTTGCGATTTTTTTTTAAAAAATTTTTTAACTCATCGTTTTATTAAATACCAGATTGGTCCCCCGGCAACCACCGGGACCTCCTTACCTGCGTAAGCTTTACTCCTTCCAATGTGCTCCCATCCACTGGTGACATGGACACCTCGTGGAGGTGGCACGCATGCACAAAAAAGTGTCTTATATAGTAGAAGGCATTACCGTAATCGTGACATGACCTTAGAAATATTAATTGGACCTCAGGTCTTTTGGCGGTTAGCTCCCCTCGCCCTTCTCCATCTTATCCTATTCCCTCTACTGCTCTCCAGCTGCTATTGCAGCATCATGTGGAATGAATGAGACCATGCTCAGTAGGTGTTTATATAGCCGTTGGGGTGTTATCACATTGATAGCACTGCAAAACATTGATTGCTAAAGTCATAGTTACTCGATTTTGTTAACGGTCTGTTTACTTCACGAGTTTCCCTACCACTTCATTTTGCGGACGGACACACATACATACATACATACATACATACATACATACATACATACATACATACATACATACATACATACATACATACATACATACATACATACATACATACATACATACATACATACATACATACATACATACATACATACATACATACATACATACATACATACATACACACAAAGTTAGCGCTTTATAAAATAGAAGGATGGTTAGGCTCACGGCCGCCACCGACCTGCTGATTTTCTTTGATATTCCGAATGCAAACTAGGTTTTTTATTCCGGATTTTTTGATAGTATACGAAAGTATTCTTGGAAAGGTTGACAGATTCCGCCAGGAAAACTGGAATTGAATCTCAAGTTGTGACACTTACGGAAGTGACAAATATAAGATCGAGCACTCAAGTCCTCATTATTTATTTATTTAATTTATTTATTTATTTATATACCTATATAATTTGTTATTTGACGTTATTGTTTCAGCAAGGTAACAGCCCATAGCAAAGATTTCAGAAATTTTTTCGTCGCGCTTCTCCTTTGAAAAAGGGTTGGTCACATAGCGCCCTACAATCCTTTCGAAAGAACCCCAAAACGCCCTTATGTAGATCTCCTGAAGGGGCAGCTTCCCCCCCCATTTTACCTATTCCATGCAGTTTTTGCAACTCTAGACCATTCCACATATGCAGAAAAACGACTCCTACAGTTTGCCCCCTCTCTAGAGAGCTCGCCCTTCCCAAGATCGCAAATATCAAAAAGAATAGATGTGAGATCCCCTTGAAGAAACACCAATATAACCTCCCCCCCCTTCGAGCCCCTTCGAATGCGGCACAATGGGCGATGAACCCTCGTTCAAATATGTACTTGGTCGTGAATACTATTTAAAAGGCTATATAAATAGAAATCGCAGTCTTATCTAGGTAGCCTTTCATATGAGCAATTTTTCCATAGTCAGTCCGTTCGTTGTCGCAAGTTCAACGATTGGAATCGACTCTCTACGGCATATTCGCGATGGGAAGAAAATTATTCTATGGGAATGGTGGTAGGGAACAAGGAGAGAAGTGTTTTGCTTTCGAGCAGGGTTTTAGGTATCGTTGTTTTTTTTTCGGATTCGTACCAGTCACCTCCTGCCCATTAGTGTGCAGTTTTTGACATGTGAAGTTTGGTCGCTGAGACTTGTCAACTGTCTCGGGGGTTGAATACTATAAAAAGCTCTGGGTAGGAGCGTAGTCGTATGGGTAGGACCACTCCATGCTGGTGGGGTGGGGACCGTGTCAAGGCCTTCTTACGGGGCGTGGTGAAATTTTTCTGAATTGCGCTGACCCTGTTGACGACTGCGGGGTAGCCACTTCATCAATAAAATCTTCTCCATTTCATCTTGGTGGGCACTTCTGACAGTGAGTTATTTGAAGGCAAAGCGAATGGCGACAATAAATCGTTCGTCGTTCGCGGTCAGTTACTATGGCTCAGCTTGACCTTGGAACGCATCATTCATGATTCTTTTCTTTCAAATACTCTACGTTTGACCATCGTCATTGAGACACTGTTCTTCGCTAAGAATCATTGGATGTGCACCAAGTTAGGGCTAAACCTCATGAATTACGCAGGGTAAATAAACTGGAGCGGTTATGTCCAAACCGTAGTTTTACTATGAAGCAAGGACTTCTATAGATCGTTCATTCACTCGCAGGTCTCTGCCATCCTTCGATTGAGCCATACTGTTATGTGAGCATAAACGTTGAACGATCTTACGCCAACATGTGGTATACGGTAATAAGTGGACATCCCCTGTTTGCGCATTGCACTTGGGGGGGGCATTGACAGGCCATTGCATTCAGTCTGGCGAGCATATCATTTGGTCAGGGGAGGATTTCTTCGGAGTGAGTAGATGACTTTCTTAAAGCAAAGTAATCCAAAGACACTGTTGAAGGGTCGCATTTTGGGCTGTGCAAGTAAAAGCGTAGTGGCAACTGAGAGGTCGTTGAACTAGGGGTTGTATTTAGACTGTTTTTTGAAGGATTTGAGGAGTTGTACATAAATTGGGGAATTTTCCGCTTGATGACATCCATTCACTCTCCCCCTCCCACCGCTGACCAGCGGTTCGGAGAGAAAGATGTGCGGAGTCGCTGTGCCGATCGAATAGTCCTCAGACTCAGAATACTAAGGATACCATGGGCGAGGTTGCTCGGAGGCAGGGGGGGGGGTGGAGAGCCTCCCAAGATTGATGGTGGTGGAGGGGGGTCGCAAAATTTGCGAAACAGTGCGAACGTGACGGTTGACCCTGGTCGTGGTCTTGAATGCCTTGGACGCTTTGCGCTACTATTCCCCCCCCCCCTTCCCCTCCCCCATCTTCCCTAACTACAGTTACGCCCAATTTAAATGTAGGTGCTTCGTCGCGTTCCAACTAGATCCATTTTTAGGAGAATACTACACTATGCTTTATAGAAGTCGAAGAATAGTTTTTCTTTGTCCAGGGACCATTGGTTACGCCGAAAAGTGGCTATGTGTGCGAGTTCCGTGTCAAAGACTGTCAATCAGATATGAAACGTGCTCCGACAGGATATTGGCGATTTTTCCCAAGTAGTCTAGTTGACACTAACATATCTCGTCAGCGAGACTTGGTAAATAGTTTACGGCCTTCGTCATAACCATCTCCGGTGTTCCGGTCACGTGACTGCCCCTTTACAATCTTTGGCCATCATTTCCAACAGATAATAACTTGAAGCCGCATATGATCATAGCGTGGCAATTGGACCGGTCATAGGGCAGTATCCGGCTGCTGTTTGCCATTTGTCCTCTTTTTTTCCCTGATTTGCACAGCACCTATCGATCATAATTTTTGATTTCCACTCACGTACTTGTATGGCCTTCAAATTGACTTATGATTAACCTTCGATCGCTTTTTGGTGGCTATTTGAAAATTATTGAATGCAGAACTAACTATTGTGCTTACAAGTGGGTGGCATTCTTTTAAAACACTATTCGGTGCTATACAAGTGGGGTGGGCACACCCAGCTTTTCACGCATGTCAAGTGACTGCCCTCACCCCCCCCCCTAGATTGGCTACACTCCCCCTGGCTCACGAACTCCCCAATTCTCGTGACAGTATAGTAGCGAGCAGCAGTCCCACTGACATACATTTCTGTTCAAAAAATGCGGCGTGCCCACCCTACTTGTATAGCACCCAGAAGTGTAATGTAAGTGGGACTGCTGCCCGCTACTATACTGTCACGAGAAATCGGAATTCGTGAGCCAGGGGGAGTGTAGCCAATCTAGGGGATGAGGGGTGTGCAGCCACTTGACATGCGTGAAAAGCTGGGTGTGCCCACCCCACTTGTATAGAGCCTATTTTCCTGTCAGAAACGTCATATTTTCGGCACCTGTTCGGTAAGGTGGCAGGCTGAGGGGAGTGAATACGGGTTGCTGGTAGACCCTTTATGGATAAAGCAGTTCTTCGAAAGTGGAATATTTTTTTTTCGATTTTTTCGTTTTATCCCTGCAGAGCAACAAACAGTAACTGAGGAATGAGCTATCCCTTTGCTATTTTCTATTGATACCACGTCATCACCGTTTATATTTATTGGGGCAGTAGCACGGACCGTTCCTATCTCTTAGCACTCCTATCTGTGCGGTTCTGGAATACATAGGTAGCTCATGTTACTTACAGTAACTTCAATTTTCGCGGCGGGACTAAAGTGTAAGTGAGGAACCAATTTTTTTTTACAAGACACGCTTTATCTAATTTCTACACATACACAAATCTAGTTGATAGTATTCCACTCGAAGTAATCTTGCTTGACCTGTCCTGGTGGTGGATGGTTCTCCAGAAAACATTTGTCCAATTTGCCTTCCCAATACAACTTTAGGCGTTGGGTAGCGATCGCTTTAGCTCTCTTTTTCTGCTTTTCACTGGTGATACATTCCCTAAAGTCACGGTGCTCTAGATCGCAGTATTTGCGGCCAAGTTTTGCGCCGTAGGCCTCCATACAACGAAAGAATTGTGCCTCGAAAAAACCAATTTCCTTCACCGTGGATGAATTCACACTATTTTCTTGAATGCCAATCATAGGTTAAGTCTTCTTGTGGTTTAAAAGGCGAATGGTGCTCTGCACCATTCGCCTTTTGTCCCACCAAGGGTTAGGGTTACCAAGGCAGAATGCGACTCGCACGCCTTCCGCATCTGGGGTTTCCGCAGCGAAAAATTTCACGTTGTGACAAGCGAAGTTGCTTTCTTTCCGGGCAACCCACACCCTCTTTTGACCGAGCGAAGTCCATTGTTGCGTTTGGCCAATTTTAAAAATTTAATGGTCCCCATCCTTTCGAGGGTCCACGACTCCTGTCATCATCATCGCTGATGCGGGTCTCCGGCGCCAAGTCTGGCTTGTTCTAGAGTGTTTGATTGTGACACCATAGGACATACTCTAGCTCCACCCAAAAAATTCCTTCAAAATTGACCTCAAGCGGGCAACAGAGGGAGAGGGATGGGAATACTCACGATTCCGCCTATTACATGCTTTTTTAGTAAAAATTAAAGAAGAAATTCCCAGTTTTTTCATCACTTCCTCTTCTACACACGTGACCCCCTCAACTTCGTCAATGAACTAATTGCTCGATTTGTTTGAATGGACGGTCGAACCTGCCTTCAAATGCATCGGGACCCTATTTTCTTCCACTGAGTGATCCCTTCGCACTTCTTTTTTCATCCTGCAGACTCACTACAGTGCTTCTTCTTTGCCATGTTATAACGTTTTACTTAAACTTACCAACATGCATCCATTTAAGCTTTGAAGTCCTTGAGGTTTTAGTGACGATCATAGATTATATGGTCCTGTTTGTGACATACCAATGTCCTCGCTAACTCTCATAAACTACGATCCGGAATAGCGTCATTCATTGTAGTCCGTATCTTCTTCGCAGAGTGACTGGCGCCGATCCAATAAGCCTCTTTGTTGTGCGATTCACCTCGGTCAAATCGGATGACACTACAATGACCGGCTGAGGATTTTATGACTTTCACTATGCCATATGTTTCTGCTTTGCTTTATCTTTTTCTATTTTTGTTTTGTAAACATTAGCGGCTGTTTTTGATGACATACCAGGCCTTGTTTTCTTTTTATTTTTTAGGTTAGATAACTATTGTTGGCAGAACTCCGTTGCTATTGCCTGCGAATCTCAAAAAAAATTGGACGCTATCGCAATATACGGGGGCATTGTGATGGCAATGCATTTCAAACCGCGTAAAACATGTTTTTTTTGTTGAAAACGGGACTAAGCCTTAGGCGGGGGAGGAGAGACTCCAAAATTAGTGAGCCATCTATATTTTTCCCGTAGCTCCTGCCCCCTCCTATACGGCTTAGTCCTAGTGGATGCCCCCGTGCATAGCGATAGCGCCGAAATTTTCACTGGTTCCTCACCCATGGGAGCTAGTTTGTGCCTAGACTACAAATATGACATTCCATTTAGACACTAGCGCCATTCAACACTTTAGCCGTCTGGTATAAGCCTGGGTACATGGAGACTTCGGTGCTCTGTCTACGAAAATGACTTGCATTATTGCGCCTGCGCCAAAATCTGATGTCATAATGTAATCAGAGCAATAAATGATCCCCATCGACGAAGGTTCAGCCAACTTTTTTTTGAGATTTTGTAGAAGCAACAATGGAACAGTGCCAATAATGGGATTTTCTCATCATTCGCGTCCCAGAAGCTTTGTTCTTGGGCTCAAAAACACTGGTGCGGGTTGTGCTGCTGAGGGATTCCAAGCAGGGTCAACCCTACCCTTGGCACTTTTTCAAAATTTTTTACGCCCCCTCCCTTCATAATGAGCCTCGATACGACTCCCTACCACCACAATCTTCCTACGGAAAAGCTCCGCCTCCATTACCACAGAAAAACGATACCCCTTAGGCCCCTAGCCTCATGAGCATAGCAAAAAGAACGGAACATAAGCGTTAGTTTCGATAATACTAATCCTACACACAAGACAAAATGATCACTCTTTCCGTGGAAGATTCCTTTAAGGTATCGTTTTCTGTGGTAATGAGGGCGGAGCTTTTTCCGTGGAAGATTCCTTTAAGGTATCGTTTTCTGTGGTAATTAGGGCGGAGCTTTTTCCGTG